TCCATGCATAATAGAGACAGCCTTCTTTGTCACCTTGACTACGTCACAAGGTATTGAAAGCCAACAAATGAGTAAATTTTGGTAATTTCTTTTCTATTCTCTGTAAGTCCTTTTCTTTTTTGTTGGGGTACAACCATTGACGTGGAATTCAAGTCAGAGGGGGTTTTTGCCCGATGGCTAATGAGAAAATTTATCTTCTGTACGTCGAAACTTCGACTGAAAACCGGAAAGATTTTTTCCGCGTTATTCAAATATCTTGAATGTTTATTTTTCCTTTGTTTTGTTAAGACATAACAAAGAAGGGCTTTTGTCCTTTAAACCATAACTGTACGTGTACCGTTTTTGAATCTCTAAGACGAAAACGAAACTTCCAGACAGTTACTTGAAAGTAAAGATGAGATAAATATCAGACGTAGTTACCTGTTTGAAGCAGAACTTGAGGTTGTTCACAGATGCAGGAGGTAACAAACCACAAGTCTTTATCGCGAGAAAGTCGATAAAAAGATCTCACAACAACAGCGCACCAATCACTTACGGCTAAAAGCAGCACAACGGCGGGCTTCAGGCTTTTACACTCGCGACGAAGGCAAAACGTGCTTGTTAATGACACGTTCAATATAAATACGGCTGCATCTGAGTCACATGTCATAAACATGCTGAATAGAAGCGAAAAAGATCTGAATCAAGGATATGCTTCCAAGAGAGAACGTTGCGCCACGTGCAAATTGCACCGTAAACACAGTGGTGAAGTCAGCGACCAGCTGGTTAATAATATCCCCGCTCTACCTTTTCGAGATGTGCTCCGGTTCTTTAGCCTCTTTTCGACGATCTACGGTCACTCGATTTAAATAAATACTGAGGTGTTCTATAACCAGGGCTGATATCGAGCGATGGAATGAAACACCGCTTCTGTCTTTTCTTTGATTTCAGACTCTCTGAAGGCGGAAAGTAATTATGCATAAACGGAAAGCGCAGAAAGGTAAATATTCTACAGAACATTGTAGAATACTTTGAAGGAAGCTTTTGTCTCCATGGAATCTTCACTTTGAATATTGTTCATTAATGATAAATAAATGAAGTGGAAAGATTGTACTCTTTGACAACTTCCGGTGAGATTTGAGTGGTTTCCGATTATAAAAATATTATATAAATACCTCGATTTTACGAATTTTAAAAGCGACAAAACTGGTGCGACTTTTTCAACCCTTTCATGAATTGAATTTTGAAGGTTTTTTTAAGCGTAGGCCTTAAGATTAGTATGGAAATTAAAGTTCACAGAAATTCTGAATGCCAGGGACGTTTATTCTCATTACTATTGTTGACTCGGTTGACTAGACACATTTTTATATGAGGGCTACTGGTTGACAAGGAAAAAAATCATTTTAATTTCATCCATCAATCAAAATGTCAGTTACAGTTTCATCTGCGCAACAGGCGCCCTGTGAAGGGGTGGGTGGGGGAAGTGGTTGATCGACTTGGCGGTTTGAGACTGATAGAAACTTTCAATCAAGACCCTGTTCGGGAGAAAGAAAATTTAGACTCAATGTACTTAATTAAGAGGAGTCATCTATTTGTTACGAGAATCGGACTACAAAAAGATCTGAGTTAGTCGCGGAGATTCAAACCACAGACGCAAATGAGTTTATTCTCAGTCGTCTGGCCAATGGAAGTAATCAAAAAATATGTCCGTCAAGTCTTGTTTAAATATTTGTTCCTTTGCCTTTAGGACCTGTCATATTTCACTATCTATCCCGCTTGGGAAAGGAGAGCTTGGTAAAGTAATTAAATGCGATATAGTTTGTGTGTCTTCTATTCAAAAGATTGCCCAACTGTCATTATGTCGAGCTTCACAGCCATGAAATTGCTCGTTCGATATGAAATTTATTTTTTGTTATCCTCTATTCAAAAGATTTATCCAGCTATCATGATATTTGTTCGACAACCATTTATTTGCGTATTCAAAACAATATTATTTTTTTGGGCTCCACTGAACGAGAAACAGGCAACCACTGATCCAGAACACATTCATCGAACGCAGATCGCAACTATCACATTGAAATGAGTAATTTATTTTCTGTCTTCGGTGAAGCGAGGAAATGCATTTAAACGTTTGGGTTAAAATTTTTTTGGTAAAATCTAATGGGTGACAAAATATTTCGACAGTCTACTTGAATCGGTATTAAATTTCTTATGAAATGCTGTGAACATTTGAATATTGCGCTAAAAGAAGTCCGAAGATTTTCTTTCATTAGCTGATCTGATAAAAATGTTTCCACCTGAAAAGGGTTAAGCCAGTGGGCGTGAAGCAAATAAAAATGAACCGCCCTGATTGGTTGAATTTATAAAACAATTGTCACGATTTAAAAATAACTCGAAACTTACGTAATGCTTTTACTGTGGATTCGAGCGCGGGAGTTAATTCGAGAGAATCGAAAATCGTGTCGCGTTTCAGCGAAATTTGACCATAACACTGGCTTTTTGTTTCTAACGTGGATTGAAAATTGCAATGGTGAAGCGAAGTATTGGTGTTGGTTAAAAGGAAGGCTGGTTTCGCTTGTATGACTTCAGCGCCTGACCGGTATCATTGTTACAACACACAAATGCTCTATGTTGGAATTCACACAACATGCTTACGGCTTTCGGACACATGTTTTCATTTTGGGGCTCCTTGCAGTATGCACCGTATGCCACGGTAAAGAATCGCTGTTTGTAACTACCTCGATACAATCGTGATCATCAAGGGATTTCGCTCTTTACGTTAAGATCCAACTTTGTTTCATGTTTCCAATCGTTTGTTTTTATTTTTACTCAGAGGCCAACGATCTCCAGTCGAACTCGTGCACGGGAGAGCAATCGACCGCAAAAAGGAACTCGTTTAATTTCCGCAAGTTTGGAAACGTGACGGGTTTAGAGGACTGTGTGGATATATGTTGTAGAGATGATGCGTGCGAACTGGCGATACTTTCGCGCGGTTTTCATTGTTATGGTGTTTCATGCGACAAGCCGAAACTTTGCCACAAGATACTGGACAAATTGTTAATGGAAGATGAAAGACAGCTGCAGCGAAACCCAAGAAATGCAGGTGAAATATTTGATAAAATTGACCAGCTTTAGAAAACAAAAATTAAAACAACAAACTCGTATATCATTTTGATTTCTGATTAAAACTTTCTTGCGTGATTTCTTCCGGGCAACCACGTTTACGGTAACAAGACAATATCTTTTCTCTCTCTCTCTCTCTCTCTCTCTCGACAGTATCAAAATATTCAAGCCCTAATTTACTTATTTTCAAAAATAAGTATCATGTATCAAATCGTTTTGCAAAAGAGAGTACAATAATAATTTTCTTAGTCCTGCTTAAAACTTCGACTTTGTACTTCATACCCAGATCATGCAACATAACTTATAGTTCTGCTTTGTCGTTAGGAAAGTGTGAAGAAAAGTTTGATTTACGTGTGACCTAAGTTAACTTCATAATTTTAAGTCCGATGTATCAACTTGTTCCTCTTCGTCACCTTAAAAATCCTAAAATTACCTTCCAAGTTTGTGAAGCAAAATTAGTTATGTTGTGATATAACGTTCTGAGAGGAAAAGGCGTATATGATCTTATCCAAGAGGTGTTCCCTCTTCAAATCACGTTTTTTTGTTGGTTCTCGTCATAGCTATAATGTTTTCCGACGGGTTCACGGTTTTCCGTCCTCCAAAAAACTCCATATGCCAATTTGAGGTGAGTTTAGTGGAAGAAAAACCAACTCGTGTCTTGAAGCGAAGCGCTAACTGTCATTTGATTTTTTTCATTGACGTTCCAGAGGGTAGACGGAGAAAAACTGATTAAGTTTCCTCATCGTCACAATAAAAAATGTTTCGGTTGTTGATTCATTTCAATAAACGTAAAGACTTCTTTAAAATGAGTGCATGCAGTGCTTCCCCAGTACGCTGGGAAGGTTTAAGTTATCGTTTGATTCAATTCAGTCCTTCCCCAACTGCTCCACGTACGTCAACCACAGCAATCACAGCCTTATTGTGATTAGTCTATACGATTGCCAGTAGTGTCAGAAACGACAAAAAGTACACATTTGGCCTGCAGCACATCAAATTAATCAAGCAGATAAACATTTCTTGGAACAAAAGAAAAAAATTGGCGAAGAGGCTCAGATTTCGAGTGCCATCGTCAAGGAATTAAAAGAATCAAAACGTCCGTGAAGATGAGGAAAATGGAATCTTAAAAGATAACATTTTGGATTGGGTTGTTCAAGGCTTTTGCAAGACATTTCAAGTCTCTTAAATATTTAAGTCACTTGACGTTTTCGACATTCGAAGGCTTTGTTGATCATTTTCTGGATGCGTTAGGTTTCTATTTTTCCTCTCATATTTGAAGCCTTGTAATATTTGGTCGAATTTCAAGGTTGAAAACGACGGTTAGATGGGGTTACTTTTATTTCATCAGTTGGCGTAGAAAGACTTACTTTAGGAAGAATAAACGATTGCAGATTTTAACCTCAGACGGACGGCAATGTACGCGCTTTTTGAGGGGGCTTGTACTTTGCTTTGCGAAGAAAAACACGCCAGAGTGCAAATTATTCAAGTGAAAGTGTTATTGAAATGCTAAATTGCGTGAAATATTTTGAAAGGATTTTATCGCTCGGACAGGTGGCACTATACAAAATCTCTCAAACACACGTCTCAAGGATCTCCAGGACTAACGAAGCGGTTCGAGGTGATCCTAAAACAGACGAGTGTGCCAAATATTTTGATGTATGCGTTAAAATTCTTGTAGTTGAAAGACATTTTGATAAAATGCAACCTGTCTAATACCGAAATTTTGTCCTCGGGTAGGACCTGAATTCTCTTGTAAATCGCACATAAATCAAAAGACTGAACCTACGCTAGACGTAAAGAGTGACTAAATAAACTTAATACGCCAGGCTTTTTTTGAAGTCTACCGATAAGTACTTTATTCATTTTGGTATCTAAGCATCGTCAGCGCATCGCCTAGTTTGAGATTTAAATTCAACTGCTAACCAATCCCAAACATGTCTACCCCATTCCTCTCCTTTTGTTTCGATAGGATACCATAAAATTGTAAAAAGTAATTATTATCACCAGTACGCTTCGACATTGGTGTGAAATTATTAATTGACACCGGTTCAGGTGGTGCATCGTGATCGTCTACAAATGAAAAATCCCACCTCTGCTCTCCTGACACCTAGAGAATATGAGCACTCTTACAGTCTCGTAATTAAATCATTAAGTGCCTTTTAGTAAAGAAACCTCCTTTAATTTTCTCTGCCACCGATAAGTAAAGCACTGCAAGATAACCGTCGACAGCTGCTAGCTACCAGTTTAATCACATAAAATAGCAGGGTTACCTGGTTAAGCTCAACACGCATGCATTTATTGACGTATGATTTTATTCCTAAATGGAATCCAAACAACAATTTTATTTCCTATAAACCATAGTCTTTTTCGTGTCACAAACGTATTATTTTCTTACCCGTTTTGATTTTATTATTGGATATTAGCACTACGACTCAATGAAATTATATTTGAATTTTACTTATAGGAACAACAGACTTTATCAGGCACACGTCACAAGTCACCAACCCGAGGTGTCCAAAACGCTTTGTACCCAGCTTTCATGTCCTTCTCCTCCCTGCCAGAACAACTCGCGAGTTTTACAAATTTTCTCAGCAGTCGGAAGATGAAGGCCAATGCAATACGCAGTGCTGTAGATCACGTGAATGCTTGCTCTCTTTCATCGAAGATGAAGAGTGTTATGGCGTTACTGGTGTACCAGCTGATAGCAACAGCACAAATAGTACACGAGAACCTACGCTTGGTTTAGAAATCGCTATTATTGATCGAAATAAAGGTTAGTCAATATGAGTTCCGTGCAATATCGTTGCAAACCGTAGAGCGGTTAAAGGCAAAGCTCTTTTTCGATATTGAATATATATTTATATCGCACTACGAAAGCAATGAAGCAAACAGAAGTAGCCCCAGAAAGAAAATACCAGATGTTATCGTCAAAAAAAAGCAAAAAGCATAAAGCAAAGACACTTTTTCTGTGTTTATATGCTTTAATTCTGCTTCGAGGGTTTGTATTGTAGTGGGAAAGCTGGTGAAATTCCCAGCCATTTATACAAACATACAAGATAGAACTCAGAAAAGCATCAATCTGTTCTTTAATCGATTTTCACAGCATATTGTTGAGCATTATAATTACATCGCCGCTTTTTTAGCAGACCCTCCATAGACTTTCTGACAAATAACGTCGAAGGTAGAGAATATTTGAACCGTATTTTAACTGCTTGGTACCACGGAAAGGTAAAATTCTTTACCATTTGCGTATAAATTTGGATTTACTGATGAACAATTTATTTCTCTCAGAGATTTCTAGAAGCTTGGATGATGGAGATGAAGATCCAGATGATATAGGTTCCGACGACAGCGATATAAAGTCGTCAGATACAAAACTGCCTAGGCTTCGGCCAACTGAAGTCAACGGCAACCTACAAACGTCACAGGTTGGCAAAATATTTTCAAATACAAAAAAAACAATCGCAAAAGCCAAGGAGAGTGTATTCTCAAAGAGGATACCGACAATGGGACCTACAAAACATGAGGCACAGCCCACTGCTATGGGGCATGAACAAAATCTATCAAATCAATCAAGAACTAAGCATCCCAAATTTCCTACTACTAAGGATATTAAGACAAAAGGTGTACCATTTCATTTCAAAGGCGTTGCAAGTAGAAGGACTCCTTCAGGGACTCCTTCATTTTCCAAAAACAGAGCATTCAAAATATATTCCAACAACAAAAGTTTGACGAAACACTTAAGCTCAACACTCGCGCAAAGGGTGAGCCCCTCTAAAGGTGGAAAATTTACAAAAATAAAGCCAACAGTAAAAGTTTGGAAGGCTGCTGAAACCAGACGAGGAACTCAAAGTATAGAAACTGGTGAAAACCCTAAAGGAAAGCATTATGTCAAAAATCTGAAGCTAATTACAAGGACAACTACTGCGATGAAACCCAGCAGGAAAAGTTCAAAGGTATCACGAATAAGCGATAGAGGTTTTGAAATTGGTACGAAAAGGCTCGATACTCATCACAAGGGGTCCACTGCACGTCTAGTGGGGGGGACGGACGAAGGAAACTCTCGTGTTGATGAAGGTTCATTGAGTGGATTTGATGGTATCAGTGGGGATCACAGATATTCTGGAGAAGACCGTGAATTCAGCGGACATAATGCTTTCAGTGGAGTAAGTGGATTTGACGATATCAGTGGAGATCAGGGATATTTCGATAAAGAACATGGATTCAGTGTACATGATGATTTCAGTGGAGTAGGCGAAGACGATGTGAGTGGGAACCATGAATATTTGAATAGTAGTGGTGGCGATTCGAGCAAGCATAGCAGTGATTTAATGGAAAATGCTAAGGTGCTGAGAGACGATGGTTCGGTTGAACATCATTTGAGTGATGCCGACCTGAGTGGAAGTGATATTGGAGTGGGTGGATATGCAGAAAATTCAGATGAAAGTGGAAAAAACGGTAGAAAAAGTGAAGTAGGTTCCACGGAAGAAGGGGATGGGCCATATAAGATAAATCATGATGTAACAAAGCCAAAATTGTATCAGGGAGAAGACAAAAACGGGAACATGGCGAGAAAAAAGATTGATCTCATTAAAGATTTGGAAGAACTTGGATCAGATGGAGATAAGAGCAGCGTGCATAGTAAGCAAACCTCGAAGAAAGTTGTAAAAGTTCCTCGTGTCATAGTGTCTGGTATAAAGAAGGACCCGAACACCAAAAAAGGAAAAGATAAAAGAATGAAATCTAGGAAAGTTCACTTTGATTTAAAACAGTCTCGTAAAATAAAGAACCAATCAAGTTCCAAAGTATCACGTAAATTGCGACCGGAAAGCCATGATGTTAAAGCAAGTAATGTCAGAGCTAAGTTAAATCCCAAGAAAAGGAAAAATTATGGTAGGACAGAACTGTTAACCAACAAGATGGTAAGGAAGGAAAGAATTCAAGATGGGCACAAGCGTTCGAAGATGAAATCAGTCAATAGCACAGTGAAACACACCAAGCCTAGTGACCGAAATTCGTCTGGGCGACTCATGAAAACAAAAGACAACGTTGCAGACATAGCTACTAAGCCGTTGCTCTTTCATGGAGCACGGAATGAGGGTAATAAGCATAATATAATCATCAAAAGGAACAAGGTTAACAGAAATGCAGCAAACTCTACGGCGTCACAGATTATTCCTAAAGCAATGTCTACGGGAATAGTTCGCAAGGGTAAATCAATTAGCCGCCGTAGCAAAGGAAAAGCTAAGGTCATTCGAACAGGAGACAATGCGACTTCACATAGACCATCAACGAAGGGCTTGACTGTGAATTATCAAGCAAAACAGGTAAAACTTAATGGCAAAGCCAGTCTGGAAAAATCGATGGGAAAGGGTTATCAAGCAATCAACCAAAAGAAACGGAAATCTCTAGAGTTTGTGGGATTCCAGGGAGGCCACCGCTTACAAAGCAAAGTTAAACCCTTGACAGAAAACAATGAGAAGCCTACAACATTGCGAAACAAAAAAGTGGGTCGCACGAAAACGAAAAGTAGGTTGTCAAATGTCAACTACACAATAAAGGACACTGGTGATCTTATGCAATATGCCCATCGGAAAGTGTCCGTTAGGCATAAAACAACGCTAAAAGTTATAGCCGGGCGTAACGGCTCCAATGTTGAAGGTAAAACGGCACAGAAAGTCAGTTCATCGATAAAAGTAATGGCTCATAAGAAAGTTGATAAAAAGTACGGGACCAGTCCAAAGGACTCACTGCAAAACAACGTTCCGCGTTTTCATCGAAAACCTCATGTCGCACATAAGAAGCAAAATAGTATGCATGGACGGAGGGCGCCGATATTTCATCTACCGACCACGACCTCAGAGAAAGGAAACCGTATAAAGGACTCAAAAGGCAGTATTCATCAAGACCTTATGTTGTCCTCTACTGAAGGGAGCTTATCTTCTAAAGAAAACCGTTCATTTGTCTCCCACATTACATTTTCGCCCCATCAATTCATAAATACTTTAAAAACAAATACTTCCCACGTAAATATATCGGCAAAGCAACGCAGCAACAGCAACGCCTCTGACGCCAAGGCTACGTTCGTGGGTCATTTTGTGAACGATAGTGGTGGTAGTAATGGTATCGATTTTTCAGTTAAATCCAGTGAAAAGCACCATAAACTTAGCAGTAAGCACCGTTTAACTGTTGATTTGGACGACTTAGGAGACGCTGATTTTGATATAATGATGTCAAATGATATTCCTCACAAGGACTTACCCAAGAAGTCGAAGGGAAAAGATAAAAAACATGCAAGTAAAAGCAACAAAAACCATGATAATAGTAGAACAGAGAAAAAGAGGAAACACAACTCCCATGGTAACGATGAAGATGATGACGCTAAAGGATCGTTCTACAAACAGAAAGACCAAAGTGAGGCAACGAGCAAAGGCAAACTCCATCGACACCATCATCATTCCCACAAGGAAAAGGATAAAGATGCCAACGAGGAAGATGAAGAGGGAACCTCCAGAGAAGAAGATGGTCACCGAAATGCTGAGCGCAAATCGCGTCATCACCATAGGCATCATGATAATGCCAATACTGTGGAACGGAAAGACTACGAAGACGAGAATCACCATCATAGTGCACATAAGGGACATCTGCATCATAAAAAGAAGGAAAGCAACGAAGAAGATGGTGAGGATAACAGGGAGGCTAGGAAGCATATAAAACACCACCATGTTGAACGAGACGAAAGTGATCGTTCAAGTGATGATCAAAAGATGAAACATCGACGCCACCATAAGCATAAGGATCACGACCATATACCCAAAATAAAATATGATGACAATCATTGGCAGGGAAAAGTTATTCCTGGACGAGTAAAAATAACGTATAGCAAAGACCATGCCAAGAAGCGACATTATCACCGTCACAAGCATAAAATTCAAAACGATGATGACCGCTCTGAAACACGAGAAAATCACCATAACCGGAAAAATTCCTTTAAGGCGCACGAAATGGACAGCGATAGCGACGAGGATACTAAAAATAGAAAACTGCAAAAACATTTTAAGGAAAAATCTAATGACAATCATGAGGGTGATGACGATGACGAAAATGATAAAAAGCAAACAAGTCACAGAGGGAACACTCACAAGAAAAAAGAGGAAAGGGTAGAAGAGAAAACAGACGTAAATTATGAAGTGGTTAAAAAAGGTCGGCATAGGGCATCTCACGATGAAGATAATGGCGATGATTCCGATGAATCTTCTGAAAACAAGCAAGAAGAAAAAGAGGATGACAGTGATGAGGTAGAAGACAACGACAAAGTTAATGAGGAAGACAAAGATAATGCACATGACCATAGCGACGGTAGTGAAAGAAAGAAAAATAATAGAGTAGTTTTAGGGGACGATTCCGAAGACGAGGACGAAGACGAAGCTAATCAAACAGAGGAAAGTCATGATGCTGACGGACACTGGAATAAGCACAACTACCATGAACAAGAACATGCTAGCAACGAGGAAGAGTATCATAAAAATAGAAATCGTAAGGAATATCACAAACTTCATTTTTACCATAAACATTGGGAATCTAGACACAAGCACCATGAATCTCATTTTGAATCTAAGGCAAGTGACGATGATAATAGTGATCATTTTGGCGTTGAGGCGGAGAATAACTTGAAACATGATAGACGAAATTTCAGAAAATCCAAGATTTATCACAGAGAGAGGAAGAAGGAATGGAGGGAATATCATGAAGCAGAAGGTGAAAATGAAGAAACTAATAATGATAACCATGAAAGACAATTTCAAAGGAGTCATAAACAGTACCATTATCATCATAAACGCCCGGAATGGAAAAATGACAAGACGACAGAAGAGTATAGGGAACATAACGAGCATAAGGAAGCATATGAACGGGATCCTTTAAGGAATAACGAAGACGATAATGGAAGAAACCTGGAACATATCGATGAACATATCCCTGATTATCAAAAAGAGCGTGAGGAAATAGAAGAGATTCCCTCTCGTGATAGAATTGAGGAACGCAGACCAAATGATGAATCTGGAGAAGAGAAACACAAAAAGCATCATCACGAAAAGTTTCATCACTTTCCTGAAGACGATAGCGTTGCGTGGAAAAATAAAGAAGATTTTGAAGGGAATAAGTATGAAAATGGAGATGTTCCATACAGACATGAACAAGCGCACAACCACCGGCTGATAGATGAAGATGAGAAACCGTACGAGGATAACAGAGACCACGAGATGCACTATGATCATGGTTCCAAACACAAGCCGAGGCACTGGAAGAAGTGGCACCGGAAGAACCACCATCACTTCTATGAGAAAGACCAACACGATTTTGAGGGTACTGGGGGCCCGTTTGATTCTTCGGCGTCGATGCGCGTTTACAATGCTAATAATGATGATGACGATCAATATTATGGTGGTGAAGGTAATCAGGAATACCAGGGACGTAATCATTATAAGCACAAACATCGTAAGCATAGGCAAAGCTATGAATTTTGGGGTAATGGAAATCAAAACCCCTACTATTATAATTACAACTATCACAATTCTAGAGCTCCATATGGATACTATAAGCCAAGGTCTAAATTTCGTTCATATTCTGAATGGCGTAGAGAGCACCACGGTAACTATGATAGATGGAGACCGAAACCTTCTAGATGGTACCCGCATAACGAGCACTGGAATAGAAAATCGTCTTGGCCAGCATCTCAAGATAACAAACCTGTAGACTTCCAGTGGAATAAATTTTACTACAACAATGGCATGCCACCGATACCTACCCCTTATCCTGAAGATCCATCAAACCGTTGGCAACCAACAAATCCACAGTGGAAGCCACCCGATCAGACGCAAAACAGCTTTGGGAAAAATAACTGGTCCTCAGATCAATATCCTAGTCAAGGACACGCAGGGCGCGAGGATCAAAACCAAAAACAATACAATGACTGGAGTAAAAATGGGCCCCCTCCTCACTTAAAACAGGGTGGTTACGGACCACAGAGAAACCCATCCGCACCTGGGTTGCAGCGGTGGAGAAATATCAATGCAACCAAGCAGGATGGTGGACAACAATCAACAGGAGTTCAATCACAATATATTCCTCCTGCTCAACAAAACTTCAATAAAGTTTTTAATCAGACTAAGTTTCACCCTACAAATCGCCCGAAATACCCAGCTGGTTCTTCATCGCAAGTTTCAGGCCCAACAAATATCAACCAGATCAAAAAAATTATGGATAAGTTGAACACTCCTCCATCAACTTCCGGCCTTCGACCAAGCAAAGTTGCTCCCACTGTCAAACAAGACATATTGCACAATGCGACTACCAACAAAGATGGAGTTCCCAAGACAAACTTGACCACCACGGATCAATTGAAAGATAGAAACCGCCTGGATGGATTTTTCAACGAAGAAAAAAATGGAAAGAAAAAGTCAGAGATCTTACGGCCTGCGAATAGGAGCGAGGATCGACAAGCTGAAAAAAATACAAGTTCTCAAGGTAGAGCATTGTATTATTTTTCATCTACTTAAATCCAGAGCCCCAATGTAGAAGACTGCTTGTGTCAATATACCATCAATTCCTTTCCGTTCTTTCCCATTTATGTTCCTATTCGACGAAGTATAATGATTATCTTTCAGTGGTAGAGTACTTCCTGACCAAAGAAAGCTTTATACCTTAAATATTTGATACTTTCCAGAAACTCTAAAATTCTAAGTTCTGGTCCCTAAAGCTATACCCGTCCCCCATTATTACAGGAAACACCTCGCAGCATGCCAGTCTAACGCCGCAAACAACCAATACCCCACCCAAACCTCCTTCCAACCAAGTCACAAATAAAACGACAGGAGATCGTACCAATCCACAACAGGCGGCTGGAAATCGAACCAACAAGCCTACAGCGCCCACACTAAAGAGCTCCACAACTACTGCCAAGCCAACCACTCAGACAACCACTGAACACACTCCAGCAGCAGCACCAAACTTTGGAGACGTCTCTCAATCCGATGATTCTTCAGGTAGATGTTTTGACTCTGTTATGCTACCTGAGTCAGGATCCTCCACACACCCTTTGATTCATGAACCTGTTACACATAGGTGGAAGATGAGATTAGAATGAAGAAAGCAAACTAGGTCTCACTAGCCCCTACGGTTGATTTTTTTGTTTCAGTTTGTACGAGTTATATGCCTGTAACAGGGCCACCAATGGTGGAATAATGAAACTAAAGTAATCTTGTGTCAGGAGACAGTTCTGAGAATAGCATTGATTGTTTTCTTGTTAGGAAAAAAGCTATATAGGAAGTATACGCATTTTTTTATTTTGGAAACCCAAGAAAGTTTTCTTGTAAAAAGTAGATTGTTTGAGTTCAGAACTTACCTGGTTTAAATTAAAATGTTTTTCTAGTTTTTTCACGTTCGTGGACAAAGAAAGATTAAGACTCCCCCTAGCGATTCGAACTTCATACTTCCGAAATCCGCGCTTTGACGCTCTACCACTGAGCTACAGAGATCTTTGTGGAGAGCCGCGTCATAATTAGGCTCATATGGGGCGCACTTTCTATGTACTACTGGGATTTTAAAACGTTCGAGCTCAAAATTTACTCTCTTCTATATTTAGCTAACCCGATATTTTTTCAAACAGAAACAGGAAAGAAACATCGGAAACACCGGGCTCCTATTTGCATGGCGGGTAAGACAACAGACGACGTCACTTTACTGCGAGGGAAAAAGGCGGGAAACTTTACCAACATTGGCGACGTGGGCGACTTCGAGATGTGTATCAAGAGGTGCTGTCAGACGAAGACATGCGACCTGGCTTTTAAGTCTGCAGAGACTTGCTTTCTCGTAAACTGCTTTGATAAAGATTCGTGCAAGACCACCGAGTCCCTGGATGATATATTCAGTCCTCGGATGTGTTTTGTGAAAAGGCATTTAAGTGACGAAGAAAAAGGTAACCAATTGTCATCGAAATCTTTTTATGAAATATTTTTTGGGGATGCAAAGTTTTTACAGAGTTAAAGTAAAGGTCGCATACGACCACAGATCCTAAGCACTAAATCATTTCTGTTTAAGACGATCAAGATCAAGATGGGAACGATGAATGGGACGACAAAGTCTCTCCTTCAGGTAATTTTATTACGCAGCAGACCTCTAAATGATTGTTACTCAAGAAAAGGTTTTTTTGTCTTTTCACGAAGGTGGGACAAAGAAAAAAGATTTACTTATCGAACCTTAGACCTTTAACCGTCAAGGTATTGAATTCTGTTGAAGCCTTATTATTTTTCAGACCTTATTTTAATCACTACTTCCGCATTTGCTATTGTTGCAGTAACGTGTCGTCTATTTCAAACCTTAAACCACAATTAATATAAATTATTTTAATGTATTGTTACTTGTGTAACTGGAAACGAGTGGAATTGTTATGTTGTATGACGAGACGCTTGTTGAATGCTTCTGCACCATTTCGCTTCTCGATGCTCACTGAAAGCTTTTTGTTCTCATTCGGTCACAATATCATCGCCACAACTTAAGTAATCACATAAAAAGGACGTTTTCCTCTGTCTTTATTTTAGGAATTCGCGAAGTCTGTGATATGGAAAAGGCTCTTGGAATATTGTGGAAGAAAACGATTGCTGGGCGTTTCTCTGCCCATCCATGCCCACGCGGCGCAAAAGGTATTTCTGAATAGAAAAACTGATGCACATGATCTGTCTTACCATTGTTATTGTTATTTCAAACTACAGATATCTGCATTTCGTGTAATGATCGTTTCGTTGATCTTTTTTAAACCTTTTAGGTTTTGTAAGACGGCGTTGCGAAGCTGATTCAAGATGGATGCCGCCTGACTTCAGTGATTGTGTGTCCAATGGCTATCAAGATCTCTATGACAAGGTAAAACAATATTCTGAGGCGCATGTTGGGATACTCTGACCACAGTGAATCCATTCCCAACACTTTTGAATTCTCAAGGCAAAATAAAGAAGTTCGATTTTATAGGTGGACCTGCAGAGGACGTGTTGGTATAATGATAAGTGCGGTGAAATACGGAGTTTAAGGTCTGGGTATGTCTTCTAGCCCTTCCTTTACACCGAGGATATGGAGAAGCCGCTTATGCTATATTTAAAACAGTTCTTTTTACCTCATATCGAAACGGACTACTGAGCTTTTATAAAGGGGCTGGTTTATAAAAGAAAACTGTGGTGCTGCGCATGCGTCGGTGGGAGTGTTACAAGATAATTCAGTAGGTTAAATCAACTGAGTTAATAACATGAATTTTCCACCATGGCCAATTTACACCATCAATTCAGTTGATAAAACCAAATGATAGGGTAATTTAATGTTATCAACCGAGTTGATAACGTAAATTGGCCACCGTAAAGAGTCTTGCCTTTAAACTCTTTACGATGGCCAATTGGTGTTATCAACTCAGTTGATAACACTAAATTACCCTGTTATATTCTCCCACCGACGCAGCACCACAGTTTCTTTAGAGGCTTTCCCTACTAAAACCAACTTATAACTCAGCTTTAAATCTGGTGTGCTCATATCGACGTTAAGTTTTCAATAAACCTAGTGTTTAAAACTGATTATTCCAACCACTCCGCATTTAAACCTTTCGAAATTTTTGCAGTCTAGAAAGCTTGCCGCTGGAGCTGACCCCAGCCCACTCATACGGGAACTGTCACAGCTGACAACCCAGAACATCGACAATTCCTTGATATTCGGAGGAGACCTAAACCGAGCTACAGATATTATGGCCGCTATAGTACAGCATAACGGACAAACTGAATTCTTAGAGATGACCAAAGAGGATGTAGAGGTATATACATTATTCGCCAACTTTGTTTGCGTTTATTTTGTTAGCATAGTGTGAAACACATTTCGATAGCGAGTCATTAAATCAAAACTTTATTGATCCCAATGGCCGATTAAAACAATGGAATATATCATAAGCAGCCAATGAGAATTCCACGAAACAGACAAGTGCCTGAGGCGCGGGAAGACGCGAGAGAATAAGCGGTGATCGGTTTAAATTTTGTACCTGATGTGGTTGAGAAAGTGATATGATACGAGATGTCGAAACCGAGCTTGATAAATAACGGTGAAATAAAGCAAACCTATTCAATGCCTGGTTGTTAAAACTATGGGGAGAAGTTATGTCAATTATATCACGTTAGGGAGTGCAAAGTATGCTAAGAATCTCTTTTTTTAACTACTCTTTGATAAAATGCGTTTTCGCCAAGTTCTTTGGAGGAAAGACTGAGGAAGAGTCTGAACTTAACATTGGTGTTTTTTAAACCGCAGAAATACAAACAAGAGAAAAAGAAAAAAGACTGAAAGATACAAATCTTTGTTATCCATTACTTTATTTATTTAATATTCTTATTTAGATTTCACAAATTAAGAAATGCAATTAAAAGCTGTTTTTTTTTTAATCATAATTGATAATAATTTATCAACATTTCTGATCAGAATTTTGTAAGAGCCAGCAGTAATCTCCTGGATATGACAAATCAGCAGGAATGGTTCAATATCCAAAAGGTAATAAA